TCTTTTACAGATTGCTCTCAGCGTATAGGACAAGATAAAACGGCCAAATCCAAACCATTTGCAACGTATTTTAAGGTACCTCCATCGTGCTATAATACTCAGTACAGGGCCGCAGAGAGCAACATCACGTCAAATACACCAAACTTTCCCAGAGTTTGTCGATTACATCATTTATTTCAAACAGCCAACCTGACAACGGCGCAGGAATGGGTATTAAAATGGTTTGATTTATATGAAAGCAAACGTAAAATGTGAGCTTTTTGTTGAGTTTTTTTTACCTTTTTAGTAATTTCTATATACTATACTATATAGATTGTCTACATCGTTTCAATTCTGTTTTTTCTACATTTTAAGTACTTTCTCTATCCTCTAATTTACTATAGATTGTCATTACTATATCTTTTCAATCTATGACCATACCCGCTGCATTTTCCTTTTTCTTAAACTACAGGTTGTAATGTTGGACGCCTACTGTTGCAGTGTGTTGTGTTGCTCCTCAATTAACAAGTGGTCATCAACTCGAGACGTGACGGAAGACGAGTCAGTTTCCTCGCCCAAATCGCAGACTTGAAAGAAATCCAAAATGTGTTTGAATGGAGGAATCAAAGAATTTTTTCCAAGTCATCAAAGGAAGGATTACCTGTCCTATTATAAAAGTCTTACCAAGAACGATACTTTTGTATTACCTAGCGATTTAAAATGGACTTTTAGTTGTTTGGATACACAGTGAAAGTACTTAAGACTACAGTGATCAAAATAGAATTGCTTTTTTGTAAATAGCCTAGTTAGAAAATCCCATATCAGATTACTCGAATACTTAACTTCCGGTTAACTCATCATTTGTGTAGCATAATTCACGAAACTTGTTCAGACCCAATCGAAAATTTTCATCACTAAATATATTAAGTTTTTTTATTTCCATACTCTTCCTGGTGTGTATTTCAATCACATTTGTCAATTTCTATTTTGGAAATAGAAATTCTAATTAACCACATTTTCCTATAAGACAAATAGGTTGCTTTATTTCTTTAAGGCAAACTTCTCATTTGAATGTTTAATCCATATTTTTTTTTTACATTGCATACTTCCTACTCTCTCTCTGAGCATTCCTTCTCAATATTTTGAAAATAACTTTGACACCAGGAACTATGAAACAAAAATGATATATAACCAAGATAATTCTACAATCAACCACTTTAGTACAGTCTCGTAAATGCTAGAGCCAGGACAGTGCTGACCTTTTTTTTTTCTTTTTTTCTTCAAACATATCCTATTTAATTTAAAAACCATCTCATTTCATATTTTTTTTTCTATTTTCATCATACACATCTCAGGGAAAATCAGTCCTCCTCAACTGTACATCTCATTTTTCTTATTTATTAAAAACTTATTATTGCCATATGTAACTCAAAGATCACACCAGTATGTGGCTCAAATGATTCTCGCACAAAATAAAACTGTCTCTGCATCTGTATTTGTTTTATTTTTTTTTTAGTATACTCTAATAAATTAATAATATATATAATATATATATATATATATTACTATATATATATATATATATGATATATATATATATATGCATGCTTCTGAACTTGCATCAAGCTGCTATTTTAAATTTGCCTCTGTATCGACACCTACTTTAACCCCCCACCCGCCCCACCCCTTGCGTTGTTGTCGTGGGTGCTTGGGAGGATGGGGACAAGTGCCCAATGTGGGGATCACCCCCACCTTCGTCCTCACCCTCATCTCAACTACTTTGCTGGTTCTTCTCCTCCTTTCTCTTTCCTTTTCTTCATCCCCTTGTTCTGTCCACCTTGTCTTAATCGTTAACTCCTTTTTGTCTTTTCTCCACAATACTTTGCATAACCCTCCTACTCCCTTGACTCCTTCTCCTCCCCTCTTCCTCCTTGTTCGTGTTCTAACCACCTTTGCCTGATGCTATACCTCCTCAGCCCCCCCGTTTTCCCCTTTTCCACCTCATACTACCCTCTAAAACTGTTCAACCTGTTAACTTTATTACCCTAATCATTACTCATACCTAATCCTTTTCGCTACTACTACTTTTTCCCATAGCACCATACGACTTCGGTGTCATAAAAGCACTTCCTTACTCTGTGAGCTTTTCCCAAGCTTCACACTCTCCCTATATTTTGAATACACTGCTAAGACCTTGGATGTTTGTGCAGCAGAAAATGATAAAAGAACTGTTATTTCTCAGATCTCCCCACCCAACTCCAAATCTCTTAGACATCCAAACGTACTAAATCAGCCCCAAAAAGAACTTGCTCCACTTCCTTTATGTACCCTTCATCCCTCATTCCTCACATGCCCCAGCCACCCTAATCCTTGCTCGTGGGGGGGAAGGGGGGGGGGTTAGGAGACGACGGAGGCCCGGTGTAGTCCTCACCTCAACCTTGGACCTTAGCCCCCCCGCCTCACTAGTTTTACATCTTTTTTTCTTTTCCTTTTTCCTTCCTCCTCTTATCCCGTTCTTCTGTTCATATACCCAAATCATTAACTTATATTTACCCCTTTTAGCCAGTACTTTACCATAATGTCTGCTACATTTGTTTTTGACCATTCACCTCATTCTGCAAAACACAAAACAGTGCTACAGGCCAAGATCTTTCTTATTGGGGGCTGTTGCCCCAGCCCCACCCCATCATTATATTTTGTATACACCACCTTTTTTAAATTGGAACCCCCTTAATTGATGGTGCAGCAAAATTTTCATAAATAATGAATTAAAATTCTTCCTCAGACCCCATACTCCCTCCATTTGATCTTGCTATATACCCTCAACCGCCATCCCCTTTTAACAAATCCCCGTATTCGAAATCTGCTTCTCCCTCTTTACCTCTTTTGACTACCATAACTATCCTAAATACTCTACAGCCATTTTGTCCTAATTGTGATTTTTTTTTTTAACCCTTTTCACAAATACTATGATTGTGTGGCATATTTTAGTTTTCTCACCATAAACCATTCTTGAGAATTCTTTGCCTTATGAACCAAAATATTCCTTACTCAGGGGCTTTGCCACCAAGCCCCTGTATCACTATATTTTGAATACATCATTAATGACCTTAGATCTGATGTTGAAGAAATTTTTCCAAGAAAAAAAAAAAAAAAAAAAAAATAATATATATATATATATATATATATATAGATATAATATATAATATATATATATAATATATATATATTATATATATATATATACATGAGTATCCTTATTCGACTATTATATTTACTTCTGAATTCTGGCAAATATCACTTTTACCTGCATGAACTCCCTTTATTCAATGTCTACCTGCATGCCCATCGATCCACACCCACTGTATGGACTTGTCCTTACCCTTTGCGACGGGTATAACTGACAAAAATGGGGAAAATGCGGTGCTCATTTTTTATACTTTTGTGAAATTGTCTCTACACCTAGATGGATCTGCCTTACCTGATTTCATTTGGTGAAAATTTATTTTTTAGTAGTGCTATGAATATCGATGTTATTTTCATTATAATTACTCTAATGTTATAAACATTAGTAACAGCAAAATAAGATAACGTTAAAATATTTCGTAAATTAAAGAAAAAGGGTAACGTGCGAGCCGGCAGTGCTCGCCATCTATGTGTAAAAACAATTAAACAGTAAACTCACAGTGGGCCTGTCAGCGTATAAAATGTACGTGAACCACCTGTGCAAATGGGTTAAGGGGCCAAATACTGTTATTGCATTTTAAGCATTCTTGGCTTCTTAACCTCTGAAAAATCTGCATAAATTTGTCCAAAAAGATGGGCTTTTTTTGGGGAGCAAGGGTTTTCCATAAAGAATTTGTCTCCTGGACAAATTAAAAATACAAGTATCTTTTTTATAAGCCACACAATAACTGTACATCAAAAATGTGCTGTTATCTTTTATTTTTATAAGACAAAATATAATACTCTACTTGAATACATTATGTACGAAAATCCAGAGACGGGCAAAAAAAAACCGCCTGGCAATAATCACTTATCACCAGCCAATTACAACGAAGAGATGAGGAGAAAACCTGGAACTCTCAATAGCATGAATGAGAGGGACACCACCAAGATGTCTTCAGATATGCATATTCTTGAAGGTATTGTGTTTTTTCCAGTAACAATACAAACTGCATTTCTGACAAACTCACTACTTGGGAATACAGAGAGAAACCAAAGAATAACTCATCATACTACAATTCCAATTGATATTTTCACATTATCCTATATCACAAACGTTGGTTCTATTTTACCTTTTTTGTACAGAAAAAAAGCCACTTCTACATATTTTATCAATAAATTATCTTTTAGTGGATCTGACTAGTATCTGTATGATCTTCTCACCCTGAAAAAACATTTATATCATCCATAGGTGACAGTTCATGGTTTTAATGGAATCTCCCCCCATGTTCTTTAATGTAAACCAAGAGAGACAAAAATAATTGATAATAATGGAAAACAAGAGAAAATGTATGCATTACCGAATGTAAATGCAACTATCTCCATGCTTTTCCAATTTTCTTTTTATCTTTCTAATTCAGATTCATGAATATCACAAATCAGCAATATACTTTATATTGTCCAACAACTACATCTTTTAACTAGCATCTCAACAGGTACAAATAGCTATATATTTATATTTCAAAAACATCAGTAGATACAAGCCTCAACCATAACTTGACTTTCTGAAATACCGGAGAATAGACTGTATTTACAAATGGTGCAGTATGAAAAGTAGCAAGAATTTGTTGGCAGAAAAGTCCGACTGGTGCTTGAAGTTGCGACTATGGTTGCTGGAGGCCTCTCGCCCGTCCAAAGTTTACCAAATTATACAGATATAAAAGCCACAGAGGTGTAGTCACGCAACAAAAGTACAGCATCTTTGCTTAGTTTCAATTTTGTATGGTCTCGATACTAAAGCAGAGGGCAAAGAGAGTTGTGTACAAACGCAAGAACTTCTGCCTGGTGGTATATTTTCATCGAGGGCTCAACCAGTGTGATGCAGGTCGAGTGATGTTATTGGGCGTCTGCATAAACTTGAGGAGCGTTTTCAACTCCTGAGGCAACCAGGTTATTTCCAGCTTCAGCTTCTGCACTTCCAGCAGGCATAAGGTTTTCAGGCTTGGTTCTGCAAGTCCGAGAAATGGTCAATGATGCGGGATTTCTCATGAAAATAAATGGATCTTTATCACAAGACATTCAGCAGGCATCCAAATTAGACATCTCTTGCAGAAGCATATAAAGCACAAATAAATGTAGCCTTATACATTTTCAATCTTTAATTTTGTTTAACTATAGGTATGAAAATCACACACAGATGGCACCACAAGTCATCAGCAGTTAATTACTAGGCCAGCTTAGTCCACCGTCATCCTTTCTTTGATTTTTAGGAGGAAAAAAATCATTTACAATCATAACGTCAATATTAATATCAGTCATGATATTAGTATCTTTCCCAAAACTCATTGAATGGGGATTAGCAGATGTGACGGTAAGACTACTAAGCTTTTGTTAGGAACCATGTATGTGTAACAAAATTCATAAAACAAAACTACAGTAGACAGTTCATATAATAACAACCTGGTTTAATTTAAATGAGTCAATGTAAATGATAATAGATATCACTGAATAATCAATCTAAAGTATCCTAATAGTGTCCCATTTATATATAATATAAAGAAAGTAATAAGAAAAATAAAAAATAAAGAAAGAAAGAAAGAAACATTCAGTAACACACTTTTTTCCCCACATACCAGCCTCTGAGGAATAATACATAACTGAAGAAACCTTTTCTACTGAATCAGAATTCTACTAAAAGTACAATGACCTGAATATCCACTAAGGTTTTGCATCATTGTGCATGGGTAACTAGAAGTATTCATCATCAACTACTTGTTTAGTGGATGAAACTCAATGCTATTTGAAGTTGTATGATAAGGACAAACATTTTTATAAACCTGAAACTCATAAAAAATGAAGAATAATGTAGAACTGTAAATCCCCACTTACTTACTGGATGTCAGGAATAAAGCTGTAAATATCTTTTTATCAGTACGTATATGGTTAATGGTTAATGGTTATGGTTAAAGCAAGATAAATGTGCTAGACATCTAAGGTCATGTAGCACTATAGTTAATGTTAGTGAAGGGTGGTTGAGTTAGTGATTAGTTGTCTAAGCTGGGCAAAGGAATTGGTGAGTGAAAGGGTTAAGGTCGGGTGTGGTAAGGAGTTAGATAGATGAGGATATGTATGTCTTTGAGGAAAGAGAACAGGTTGAAGCAGAAAGTCTGGGATTCTGTAAGGATGTCTGATAGGTTGGGAGGTCGGTGAAGTTAGGATAGTGGGGGAAAGCAGAAGTACGGGCTGCTTCAGGATGTGTGGGATGAAGGGGAACATTACATTAAGGACATTGGGGGGATCAGATTGTGACAATCAGATAGGAGTGTGGTTAGACGGGTGTGGCCAATGCGTAAGCAGGCGAGAGCGCCTCCCAACGTCTGTTCAGATGAAATGGAGCTGACCAGGAGGAGATTGATAGTTTTACAGAATGTAATTTATTAGTGCGGAGACTTGACCAAAAAGATTGCCATCGATTATACAAGAAGGTCTTAAAGTGTGGGTAATAATCCGTGGCTGGGATACATGAGAAGCGTGGTTGGTATGATGTGGACATAGCAGCGTGTCGTGCTAGTGTATCTGCCTGTTTCATTGCTGGGATTCTAACATGGCTAGCACCAGCAAAATTGATGTTTTATGGCTTGTGGACAGGTAGAACAACCAGTTCTGGATCTTACAAAGAAGGGGGTTGGTGGTGTGTATTGACTTATGAGAGTTAATGAGTTACGGGAGTCAGTAAAAATTGTAAAAGAGGAAGAGGAGAGTGAGTATATGTGTTTTAGGGCAAAAAGGAGTGCATACAGTTCTGTAGTAAGGACACTGGATTCAGGAGGGAGGGAGTATTTGAAAGTACGAGTTGGGAAAGATTATGCAAAACAGCACGGAGATGGATTTGGAGCCATCAGTATATACGTGAATACTAGAGGAATGAGTGGAGACATGGTCAAGGACAGGGGAGAAGGACAGCAGGAGGAATATTTGATTTTGGTGGGTCGGGAAAACAGAAGAGCAAATATGGGGGTGAGGTATAAGTCATGGAGGGACAGAATGGACGGAGAACGGGAGAGGTTGGAGATGGGGGAAAGGGGAATGGGAGAGGAGGGTATCCATGCGAGTGAGAAAGGAGTAGGTAAACGTGGAGAAGAGCTAAGGTAGGAAGTGGATGTTTTTTTTTTTATTATTGGATAGTTAGTTGGAGGGAGAAAGTTGGTGGAACGAGCATCAAATCGGAGAGAGAGAAGGGCATGGCGTCGAGATAGAGATGGTATTGCCTGAGGCAGTCGTACAGGGCTCTCAACTGGAGAGGAGTGGAGGCGCCTAGTGCTAAGCAAAGACCACAGAGATGGATTGTATCAAGATGGGCAAGGAGAGAAGTTGAGGCACAGGAGTAGATATGGCATCCATAATCAAGAGTGGAGAGAATCAAAGTAACATGAAGATGAAGGAGAGTTTTGCAATCTGAGCCCCATGATATATGGGATAGAGTTTTTAAGATTCGAAGATGGCGGAGAGCTTTTTCTTTAATGTGTAGAATATGGTCTCGCAATATAGGAATTGCCAGAGGATTGTTATGGAGTGGAGTTGCAGATAAGAAAGAGAGGAGGTAGGGGACCTAACGTGGCGAGAGAAAAGATGGAGAAAGATTTAGAGGTAGAAAAGCGGAAGCCATGGTTTGTGGCCCAGGAGTACTGGATGAGATTGCAATATCATTAACAGCAAGAAGGAATAAAAGTGGTACTGAGCACACTGCCTTGTGGGACACCTTTGATTTGAGGAAAGAAAGATGATGTGGCAGAGGCAATTTTGACCTGGAAAGTGCATTGGGAGAGTAAAGACTTTATAAGACACCCATTGTTTCCATGAATGCTCCTAGAGAGGACAATTGCTGGAGAATATGGTCCCACCATGGTCGAATCATATGCCCCCCCCCCCCCCTTTTTTTTCTAGATCAAAAAATTATAGCTATAGAAGATTGTGAGATTCAGATACCACATTAAGCAGAAGTTCACCATTCACTCTAATAGTTTGCACAAGCAGCTAGTTAGTGCGATGGGGCGATAGTCTTGAGGGAGGGTTACCCGATTTATTAGGGTGTTTAGGAAGGAAGATAAGAGCTTCTCGCCAATTAGAAGAAAAATTTCCTGATGTCCATAATTGGTTGTAAATTTTTAATAGGAAGGATAAGGAGGAAGATGGAAGTTGCCGGAGCATACGGTAGTGAATACCGTCAGGGCCTTATGAGTGTTGCGGCATGATTGTAGGGCAGATTGATTTCAGAGAAGAAACATGGAGCAGTATAGGACCTCAGTGGAGGATGGGGTGAAGGTAATGGGGGTGCGTTCTCTGATGGTCTTAATAGAAGAGAAGTGGGAGAAGGTTGAAAACCACTATGACCTGGCTGAAATATTCACCCAGTATTAGTGACTTGGAGAAGACAGAAATGAGGTTATCTCAAATATGGAGGACGGGGGCAGGATGGGGGGGATGTTTGCCTGATAGCTTATGGATTCGGCGCCAAACATTTGAGATAGATGTAGAGGATGTAATTGATGAAACATAATTTTGCCAGCTATTTGTTTTACTATTCCGGATTGTACGACGAAGACAGGCAGGTGCTCTTTTAAAGACAGATAAGGGCTGATAATTGAGTTGGAGTACCTCTATTGTGGCAGTAATATTCCAGGCTGTATATTTTAAGCGAAGTGCTTTAGTGCAATCAGAATTCCACCATGGAACACATTTGGAGGTAGAGGCTCCCCATGTACTCAGCCGGCAAGGAGTCTATCAGTAGGCCCTAGTACCGAACCACTGATTGTCATCATTGAATTGGTGGGAAAATTAATACCATTGCTATCAATACTGTTATTATTGTTACTGATGTTGTGATTATAAATAGCCATTAGAATATTTTAGATAATGAAATGATACAAAAATCCCTTTCCTAAAGTGAAGGAAAAGGGCAAACAGGTGAAATAGTAGTTCTCGATAACGGCTATTTGAGTGATAAGAAACTTGTGGAACATCTATGTGTAAATACAATCAATAAATGTGTCTCAAAGTGGGTATGGCATCTATCCTTGCCACATGTGGCGAATGGGTTATAAGGGAGGATGGGGGTAGTTGATGTTGGAGGTTGAGGGGGTAGTGGTGTTGAAATTGAGCATGTTGGGAGAGTGGAAATGTCTCTTGGGGTTGATTGTTGGCTACTGTACTGGTAGTATTGATGAGGGGGTAGTTGTTGCAGTGTTCGGAGCTGTGGTCAAAGGAGAGCCTGGGGTCAGGGAATCGGGAGGGTTTGCATTGTTGGGGCTATTTGATAAAGGGCAAGCCTCGTGCCCCTCATAGTGGGATTATGTTTTCATTATTGGCAATGGTAAGCCTGAATTATGTTGGGATAAAAACGTCCACCCTCAGGGTCCCCTTAAGGGGTAAGGGCTAGGTAACTAAATCAGGGGAATACCATGCCCATGGCTCCCTCAGGCCTTCAGGAATGGCACAAAAGTCAGCCTTTCATCCTTTCAGCACGGCTCTCACACCTTAGGAGGTGGATAGTAGAAGGGTTTGGTGAAGGGACAGAAATGAAAAAGTAGGAAGGGGAAAAAAAGACCATGCAAAATTAGTTGAGTCGAGGGCTGAGTCCCAAGGTTAGGAAGTTCCCCATCATTGGGTCCCCCTTGACAACAAGGGCAAGGGATTGGGGGGATCAGTACGTATAACACTAGTGCAAAATAGTCTCATGCAATGCAAAATGTATTATATGTTTAACATCTTTCCTACCACCTAATAGTACATATGAAATTACAAGTATATGGAATTAAATGCCAGATTTCCATGCATCAACTCAATTTCTCTAATATACCAGGTCACCACACAGCCATAATTATTGCTTTGGTCTCCAACCTCAGGAACAACTCACCAAAGTCAAGCACATGAAGATCATTATGGTCTTTAAGACGTCGGTCAGTCTGTTCCTCTCCATTTGGATCCTCCTCAGGTATCTCATCGTAATTCTCTTTTGGACTGGAAAAGGAGAGAGTAAATATTATTTGTAATATTCAAGTATACTTTTAAATAGTATATTTGTTGTCAATATTCAAGTATACTTTTAAATAATACATTTGTTGTCAATATTCAAGTATATCTTTAAATAGTATATTTGGTGTGTCAATATTCGAGTATACTTCAAAGAACTCCTTTTCTATGTGTATATCTTTGATGACCACCTTGTGCCTCCAAAGAGAAACATTTGGATCCTACAACGCAGCAGGATTGTCTCCTCCGGGGGCATGGGCCTTGTCCCAGTGGTTTCACCCCTCCCATACATGTAAAACTGTAAACATAATTTCTAATATCAATCATAATCTAAGGATCTACTTAATATATAGGGAACAAGGCTGTTATTCGTCATTTTAGGAAATACTTAACAGTTATAAAAATACTATTCCATACTTCTTACCTGGGTCAAATCTGTGCAGGTCATTGAAATGCAAACACTTTCTACTATTAAAGCACCGAAGACGTATATTTGCCCTTTATAAACAACTGAAACAAAAATAAATAAATAAAAATTCTGGTTGGATACCTTTAGCATTCTCAATATCTATCATAATCCTATATAAATACGAAATACATAAGCCCATTACAGTTCTACATTTGCTACACAGTGTATCCACAAACTATGCTGCCTTCAGCTTTTGAATAAAATCCTCTTTGGATTAATACATTCCATACTTTTAATAACAACTTAGTTAGAATTCTAAGTATTTACATCTCTGAAGTATTAATTCCACTCAGTGTGTTGTATTTGGCTTCTAATATGTGGAATTGTTATTCAGGGTACTATTTTTCTCTCCTTTGAACATCAACTGCTGAATCCTGATGTAATTGTGATTCCCTAATTTCATCAATGGGCACACACACGGTAGTAAAAGATTAGTCAGTGAAGTAATTAAACAAGAAAAGATTTCTGACATCATCAACATATTTTTGCTTACTGCTTAGTATCAAGAAGGAATATAACTGATGTGCAATTTCTGGAGTATACCATTACCTTGTGTAAAATTCTGTCACCTTTTTTTTCAGAGGACAATCTGCATGAAAAACTGCATGAAGATACTTAAACATTTCACCATCACATAAATACTACAAGTTCAAGACCAGAATGAACAAAATGGATAAATTCTTTTCAAAGAAAATAAATTTCTTAAACTCTGCAGGATAATTCCCGACCAGTCCAACAAACTTTTATTATAATACTAATGTCATAACTACTTATCATATATCAAATTTCACA